CCGAAAAGTTTCCAAGAGCCTTCGACTAGCGTGGCCGGAAAAGGGGAGACCTTCCCGCCTGTTTGAGTTCTCACACAAAAAAGGCTGTGGGCTCTGGTACGCCGTTCGGCCCTGCCAGATATTAAATATTCAAAGACTCTATCAGAAAGTAACGTTGTGCAACGTAGGAAGACAATTAAAAATAGCTTCTTCACCTATAAGTAGGATAACAAAAATTGATCAACATAAGACTAGCAGGACATTATACGATATGATAATGAAACAATTATTATTAGAATAACAAGATTACAATCGTCTTATTATGAATTATGAAGACTTGTTGTAGTCGCCTTTGAGGTGTCGCACCACTCGTATGGGACAAGGGACGATAGAACAGAAAAATTAAGAAAAACTCCTATTTCGTGAGAATTATGTCGAGCTTTCACAGTCGTTATGTATAGTATCTCCTTGCTTTACCTCTCTCTCTCTCTCTCTTTCTCTCTCTCTCTCTCTCTCTCTCTCTCTCTCTCTCTCTCTCACGCTCACGCTCTCTCTCTCTCTGTCTTTCTCTCTCTCTATCTCTCTATCTATCTTTCTCTCTCTCCCTCTATCTATCTCTCTATCTATCTTTCTCTCACTCTCTCTCTCTCTATATCTCTTTGGCTGTGTGTCTGTGTGTGTGTGTGTGTCTGTGTAAATATATATATATGTCACTGTGGAAGACTACCATTTAGCTTATTCTGAGTGTTTTATCAGTTTATTACATGGGTTATATATAGATGCCAGTATATTTATTTACTTGTTATTCTCGAATGCAGACATGAATGTCTATGTATTACTCTGTTAACATCATAACAATCACCGTCATCATCACATGGCTTTACATTATACAGTTAAATGAGTGCCACAGGTGGCGTATTTGAGATTTGTAGTTGTGTCTTCCAGCTCACCTAAAATCCATGGTATCGATGTGCTGCCATATAGCAGCGAATTTGTTGAACGAAAAGTGATCAAAAGAGATGTACGATTAGAATTGCGGCCTATATCTCTTTGAAATAACAGATGTTAGTCAATCGATTTATTTAATAAACGAACAGTCGTTATAAAAAGAGGGCTTGTAAAAATAAAATCAATCGCAATAAACGTGGCAAATACTAGACAGGTTTACGATTATTGCTTTTAACGTTATTCTAAGCAAAGAATGAATGTTTTGGATCGCTGTGCATCACAGAAGAACAGACCTTCTCGAAACTTTCCCAATTTAATCATTTGCTCGAGGACGATAGAAAAGTGGATGCCTATTTTCACGGTACTAATCAATTACTAACATTTGTTGTTGTTCAGTGTCGACATTTACGCTGTATGATGATATTGTCATGGTGTATTATAGATTGCTACGTAGTTAGTGTCCCAGATTTGATTTTGCACCGTTTTCCGTGTGTAGATTGATGCTTGAAAACAGCTACGAAGGATTAACACAACAAAGTATAACAACATATGTTAGCCCTCTTAGATTTAGGCCGAATCGTGAGGTGGATAGTATTATGAGATACGCGGCTCCTATTTTTGGACTATAGCTCAAAAGTCTCTATTTGTTCTGCTAGCCGCTTTGTGCTGCCGCTACTGCGCATCGTCTGCGTGCTCACTGATGTATACAGTGAAGGCTGTAAATAGAGGCGCACTTGAGGAGTAATCGTTCGTAATTGCAGTGCTTCAAACTTCCCGCTCAAATAATCCACATCGCTATATAAACTGTAGGTAACGATAATAACAATATTATTTTAGTAGCTGTTGGAGCCTGAATAGCCATGTGATTGTGAACTATAGTGTATACGGTTCTGTTACCGTTCCACTCGAAGACCTTTTTTAACGTGACGATATCCCTTCGATTACACTAGTTGAAGTGGAAGCTTTACGCTTTTCGGTGATGGATATGCATTCTTCAATACGATTGTATCGTCACGTCTTCTTAGAACTGAAGTAAAATTGAAGGTTGTGATAAGTTGTGTCTTTTGGGCTACGCTTGCGCTCTTTTTCACGGTGGGGTCCAGCACCAAAGCGCCTACTACGGGGCGAACCACAACAAAAATATAGTTAGTTATGGACCGTTTTATACGAGGTACGTGTATGATAACATCGAAGTTCATATTAGCTGACCAGAATAGACACTCAAGTCCTAACAGAATTCGAAGTTCTGTATTGATCTGGCTGACACCGTCTGCATATCTGTAATTAAAGCTCGGAGCGTGTCGAAACCTGAATGCGTTGGGGGCTAAACACTGGATCTATTTTAAGGGGGTATTTAACTATGGAGTGTACCTGAGGTAACTGACAAAAAGTGTTTAATCGACAAAATGATGTTTTCAGTTTCGATCTGGTCATTGATGCGTCATAAACAGCACCCGGCTTTTTGGCCATAAATGGTACGCTCAAAAGAAGAACATATCAACAAAAGACATCTTAATCGCTTTGCTAGGCTTTGTGATATGTGTTTTTGTTTGGCTGAAATCTTGTTTTTGACATTGTAAGGTATCATAATGGTACTGTCATTTACATGTGTAGTTTAATAAAACGATGTGAATACCGTACGCGCACTTGCAGCAGCAAGATACATTGTTTTATTAATTAGCATTATTTATGTTTTTATATTAGAAAATATCATTCGCGAAGAATAATGAATAAACGTACAGATACTACAAGCTTTATACATGCGATACCTGTACGTGTATTTATGTATGCTTGAGGGTGGCACGGTGAGTGCATCAATATAATGTGACAGCTTACTCTACCATATTTCGCTTAGATAGGACAAAAGCAATTAGCAACCTAGGGAGCCACGAAGACACTTATTTTTTTTGCTTTGTCTATTTCTTAGTCCGTTAGTGCAATTGTCTCTCCCTCCTGTTCACACATGTGTATACGTAATCCGGTGAGAGCCTGTGTGTATACTATCACTGCGAACTCGAGTATATCCTTACAAGCGGTTGGTTGAAGGGAAAATCGACGCTGCAAAAGCTCTGGTCTGTGAATATACATACATATATATATATATATATGTATATATATATATATATATATATATGTATATATATATATATATATATATATATTGGAAATAAGGAACGTGAAACTCGGGTCATCGGACAACGAGTAATAGGTAGACGAACGACATTTTATATTCTTCGATTTTTACTATTGTCATATTTATTTTTCGTGTAGGAGAGAGAGAGCGCTGCTTGGTTACGTGATGCTAAAAAGATAAATGTACATCAGGCTGTGTGGATCAACGTGTTTCTGTGTGAGTGGGTGTTCTTCTGCGCATAATTCTATATTCGGCTGACACTTACTACTTGATTCGTAATCGTGCTTAATAGTAGTTCGAAATAGTGCCGTCTCTAATATATTAGTGTTGTTGTTATTATTATATTATGATTGTTGTAATCATTAATATTATTCATATCTTTGTCATCGGTAAATGAGAGCAGCTTTCAGACTCGGAATGGTCACGCATAGCTGAATAGCGTCTGTTCGTCTTCCGGTATAGTTTTTTTTTGTTTTCATTGCGTGGTCACTTTAACTATGGTGCGGACGTAACTAAGTAGGTGTGGAAGACCATTGTTTGCTTACGAGCGTATCGTGCTGAGTGCGGCGACGTGTCAGGCGGGAGATTTTCCACCCGACATCATCAGACCAATATTGTCGCCTTCACCTTTCGAGCATCACTTATGCTTTTACATGTCTATCACGTTTACATTGTATTCGCTACTTAAAAGCTGAATAATAATTTCAGCTCATTGATGGGCATTTTAGTATATGATTACACTAGGAGGTGACAAAAAAGGGCGGGGCTAACATGGCGATACTCATGTAGACGTTTGCGGATAACCGTAATAATCACCTATTCCTGTTTGTTCATTTATCGGTAAGGGTCTTCTAGGTAATCGGTGTCGTCTGCGCACATATAAATTTCTCCATGATTTGCGTCACGAATGGGTCATATCGCTGTTGATATTACTATTGCTAGCGTCACGCTTGTCACCAGGTTCACTCACTCACTCACTCACTCACATACGTTTACGTACGTGAAATGTTATCGTATTTTTCTTCTATACCCTCTGCTATATCATAGAGTGAACGTCCAGGATACAGAAGGTGCACGTCGATGTGTCTCGTTCACCTGTACCCGCATAGTCGTTATATCGTTAAAGAATCGTACATTGGCCATACATTATCGTCGGTAATGTGATCATTTTTTTAATGGATTTTTGGGTATTATAATATTGACTACATATAGAACGTATCTCTCCAGTGAGTATATGAAACACATTATTGACTCCTTTATATTTTTGCATTTAGTCAGTTGATCCTTTTTTCTTTTTTAATATATACAGTATTAAATTTTGTGTCACGTACATCCATATAAGCTCAAACCGTTTATCGAATGATTCCTCTTAATTGATGTGTTAGCGCTATTGCGAACGCGCGCTCGGTAACTCGATTGAGGTACTTAATTCAACACTGAATAAATGCTAAAGGCGACGCGGCTTCGTATCCACATACACCCATGCACGTTTTTATGCTCGTGCATGTATAAGAGGAAAAGATTATTTCTAGTCGATTTAACGTGTACATAACTTAAATTTTTCGTCGAGATTTAAACATAGGTTTTCACGTATACGCCCTTTTATAGATAAATGCATATACACACATTTATACAGGCTTACTCACACAGATATATGGACACACGTCCTCTTACGCGCCCAGACTATTTTTCATGCTAACGTTCAGTGGCCTGTAACGGCTACACCGAAACGTAGCCTGCTTGGAGTCGGTTATTTTGTGTGTAGGTAATAGGTAGATGGCGACCCTAATCTGACAAACTGTAATGTGTATTTATTAATACTAGTTTACCGTACGTGTGTGTCTGGTCGTGGGTAGTAATACAAGAGGGCGCTATTGTGGCTGGCGTACGCCTGCAAATCGTTGCGCAGGTTACTCGGTCCATTCTCACGCAGTGCGTCTCCATCAACAAGCAGAAGCTTTCTTTTGCTCTTGTTATGGGTAATTCGGCGCTGCAATAATGGTAGACGAAGTACGCGTGACATGCGATAAGCATTCATACGCCTTCCGCCGAATTCTATTTTGTATATTTGTCTCTATCGAAAACGTACTTATGCGAATAGGATATACGGTAGTGAGAAGGTATGATAGTATAGTTGTATGATTATCAAAACATTGCGACGTAAGGTGGGCGCATATCGGGTCCAGTGAACTACTTGGGAACATGATTTTTTTTGGTATGCTTCTAAAATGAAACGCAATAAATAAGGAATGTTGCAATGCTTTGTCATCATCATTATGGTGAGTTTTCGTTCTTTTTGTTTTAGCGCTAAAGGCTTGCGCGCTCGTTTTCTATATATAGCACGAATTTTTGCAAAAACACGTTTCCTTTTTCTCCTTCAATAGTTTTGTTCTCAGTCATAGTCCATAGCTCACGAACAATCAACGTCCTTAAAATACTCGCGACATTATCCACGCCTAAGTAGAATCTGGTGGTAGATGAGTGGCAGACGGTGATAGTTTGCGATTGGTTTCAAATAAAAGGGAAGGGTTTAAGGAAGCGTCAGTCAAGTCGTGAAGTGACTTTGTTGATTGGAATCTAAGCGAGCTTTATCCGCACTTGCCCCTTGAGGACCGAGACGTCCTTAAAGATTGTTGAAATTGCTATTTGTCCTACCGACGCTCTCCTGTTGATTGAAGCCAAGCTCTCGCGTGTCGAAGGGCCTCTGGAACCACCGTCCGTATGTGTCCCGCAACACCTGCATGCCGCCTAAAGGTACCAAATGCAATGAACAAAAAAATGAATTGTTAAACAGAGTGACAATATCTTCAATTTATTTTTCTTAAAATATTACATTTGAGATAAATTAAAACACATAATAGCATCCGCTGTCTAACCGCAGTGTTTCATCAGCGCACATGGACTGCTTGCTTGGATAACTTACTAACGTTTAATAATCATATCACAGCTATTTCAAGGCGCGTATGAGGTAGGCCAACGGTTCGCAACATCACCGCATTGCTTTTATTAGGTTGGGGGAATACCTTTTGGGCGATTTAAGGACCATTAATCAGGGTTGATGCTTTACACAGAGAACGTCCTCGCAAAAGGAACTAAATACGTGCATGGTTTATGGGCATGAAGGGAGCTGTAGCATGGCTGCTGAAAGCAATGAAGAATTACGTCATGCCGTGGGTCTTTAATGTATAGACCTTGTGCACCAAGTAAATCGAACGGTCAGTAAAAATACTGTGCTGCGACAGAATCCGAAAGCGGATTGTTGAAAACGGATGGACTGTTAAAAGATTTCAGCTCCAAGCTTTTAAGTCAAGTAGTCACGATATTTTCAAAATCTATCGCAACGTGATATGCCCTCACAGCCAGCGACGGTCGATTTGTGACGTTGTAGTTACAGTTTTTCGTAATAATACACATGTCATTTTTATAGTGACAAGTAATTTTCTCAGCTATCATCAATAAAGAAGCCCGACTAATTTCAGGGTTTTTTGGCAACGATTTGTCGAAAAGCGGGCACCAAGCCGCATTTGCCAGTAACGTTGGCGCTAACAAGGCTTAAGGCAGTGTGGCATTTGCCTACGTAACTGTTGTTCATTGTGTACGGCTGTGATGGTAGGAAACACAACTGACAACGAACAAGAGAGTCTGCAAATCTGTCGTTTCGGAGCAAAAGTTACCCTTATGTTTTTGTCGCTTTCTGTTTCGCGACTCGACAGGTGAAGGGGTCATCGAGCTATCGTCTCTTCTTAATCAATCTTTCTCCTTTTGGTTGACAGAACCATCTAGCAAATCGTTATGAGTACCGATGAGTTACGGCCAATTTCAGTTCACACACACACACACAATAGAAATTATTAGATCGTAAATAACTTAATCCGTATTCGAAACATCGGTAGCACAGTGCGTACTTTGTGTCAACTTGTGTGTTATGGCACGCGCACTATGTCGAAATTCGCCGGTGTTGAATAGCAGTGGCGACGATGGCAACAACAACTACTCACCAATATGACTTCCCTATTTCCTGTAGCGTCCTATAGTCGGAGCTTCATGTAACTCTGCATTAGGACTCTACTTCGTTGTAAATTTATTCTGAAAAACAAGCTTACTATTTGTTGTTTGCATGGGTCGATTATGGTGTCTTCGAACCCTTATATAGTTAGATATAGCTCTTATATGTACCTTATCACTTACCAGTTGGGAAGCCGAGATAACAAAACGAAATAATCCAAGTGGTCAAGATAAAAACAAGTTAAATCTATCCATAGAAAGCGCGTACGCCTAAAAACTTAATGAAACACAGCGTCATCTGTAATAAGTGGCCAAACAAGCCAGAATGACAATTTGATTGTAGGGTTCAAAGAATTCTCTAGGGATTTCTTTTTCGATTGGGTCACAATCGAATTACAAAGGCGGATCAATGAAATTCGACCGAACTATGCTAGACATTGTGAATAGGAAAAAGACTAGACAATACGTCTAATTGATGTCAAAAAGTATTGTTCCGTGCTACAACCGTACGGCTTAATTGCGATCGCTATTGATTTTTCGTACCCAAACCCAACGTCCTGCTGACAGACTAATAATACCTATGCTTTAAATAGATGAAACAAAATGATACTCATATTGGTTAGCTATACAATAGTTGCGTTCTTAGTCTTGAGATCTTCATTTTTAAAGTAAAATTTGTGAATTTAAAATAAAATTGCGAAGAAGCATTTGTCGCTGCCATTCCTCGTTTCGGTGCTGTAGCTGCAGACGACAGTTGTGTTTGTCAGAGATGATCAAATTATCTTTTTTCTTGATTTAACTTAGGCCGGGCATTTTTTCCGTGCTGCTTTATATTGAACCGAGTTCGAGATCACAAATGACAACAACACGTTGTTGGCATTGAAGCTCATTAAACTTTTCCGGGGAATTCTGCTCAATAGAAAGCTTCGCGCTGATAATATATTCTTTAAAAAAGATTAAAAAAAAACTTAGTGACTATATACGAAACTAACATACAGTGACAGAGGTTGCGCGTATCAACATAAATTAGGTTACAACAAAAATGCGGTCAGGCTCGTGTGATTGCTTGCATATCTTTAGTCCTGAAAAAATCTTCAAACGAAGCCGTATGTATGATAATGTCAAATCAGATCCGGGGTCCACTTTTCTCATGTCAAGCAACACGCGGGCATGCTTTTGCCATCTGGCAAACTTGGTCTCAAGGTTAGTTTTGTACCCGTTCGAGAATGATTGTTGTTTTCTAAGAAAAGAGCTTCAAACCATTCGCTAAAACAGTGATTTTCTGGAGTTCAGAGCTTCACTTAGCGATGGCAATATGGCAATGCGCTATTCTGACTCTAAGCATTGAAGCGTCCTCCGTATTATCTCATTTCGTGTGCGTTGTTTCGTGTTCTATTTAGTGCCGCTGCTCCGGATTTTGCTGCATTTTCTTTTATTTATCTCTGCTTATGGAATCATATTGGCCAGTTATTCGAAAAGTAAGCTTCTGCCTTTACCATTTGATAAGTGCATCAGCTGTAGCTAGCGGTAGTATTGATGGTATTACACGTACCGTAAACATTAACACTCGTGACTACAAGGTGCTGGCACGATTAACAGCAGAAACCCCCATCCCAGCTTATACTGTAGACACCCCCTAGCAGCCCTCGACGACGATCACCTTTTCGCTTACCACCCCCTTAGCCGTATTCCGCTTGCATACGATCTTTTCATGCTCCAGCATGACTACGGCCCGCCACCGCTCCCACTTCGGTGATCTGAACTATGAACTGCTGGTCCTGTTGCTACTTGAATCGGTTCGCTGACTTCTATCGGAAGTGTACTGCCACTTTATGTAGTTGCAGCCGGGCATATCATGTCATTCGAAGTGTTCTTGCTGCAAGAACACTGGTACCCATTCAGTTCTAAAAAACTTTGTCCAGTACTAGGACAATTTCGGCAGTAGCATGCCATATAAACGGAAAGTAATAAATGCCCTCCTAACTGATTTGAAATTCAGTGTTTTCTTTGCCTATGAATGGATGCATGTGTACAAAGACAACAAGGAACCGGTCTCAGTTCGTGCCACGTGACGAGTCATACTGAGAGTATCTTGGTACTGTTTTAAAGTGTACATATCTGTTTAAGTCTGCAATAATATGTCGTAACTAAGGACATTTGACGCGATTAATCAGGATTTTGAATTTATTTTAAGGGCATGCTTATCAGGTGAGCTATCGAGGCGGACGTTAAAAAGAAATGGGAATTGAGTACAATATTGTTATTTCAAGAGGAAAGCTGAAAACAGCAAATGTACTACAGACGAATAATGCGTAGTAGTTAGTTTGGTTTCAACTCATGCATGAGACTGTTCCCTGCTCTACGCCCTGAAGGGAGCGTCCTACAATCCCACATGTGCTTCTAGGTCAGTTAATTATGTGCGTTTTTTGGGCATCTATAAATTGTGCCTAATTGGAAGACATGTTTAAAAAGGTACACAAGTAGGTGTCGAAAGCTGTAATTAGCTATATATAACGTATGAGTTCCAAGCACTTCGCGTGACCATTGTACTGTGCTGTCACAGGTTACTGCTTTTAGATCTTCAATGAAAGTATCAAAGTCCAGTCTATCGTTCGGAAATGGTGGTACAATCTACAAGCGTAAACGACATGTTGGTCAAGTTCTGAAAAAAACTTGAGAAACGAGTACGATTTCTCTATACACACGAGCCGAAGGATTCCCCGAGCTATCATCCTAAGTGTCGAGACAACAATTTCCTTCAGCCCGAGTGGGTTTTGGCTCTCCTTAAGTACTGGTGGACCTTTGAGACACTTAGCGTGTTTATATATAAAACTAGTAACTGTGTGCAGACGGCATATGAGCCCTTCCTGTGTATTGAGTTCTCACATACTCACTGAAAGCTTATCGCCTGCAGTGGGGATAGTTCTAATTATATTCAGAGTTGACAATGCGTTAATAGATCTGCTGCTCAAACGCAATTGCGCGCTGGTCCGATGCTAGTAAGTAAATTTTATTATTTTGTTTTTTTTTTTTTGGAAAAATCGCTGAGGTTTGGACCTAGCGGTAAGTAACCGAAAACGGTTGTGAATTTTGCTCCAAATGCTCCAATCGCATTAAGCAGTTACCATTCCAAAAAGCTGACGACAGTTGACCACTCTTGCCTAACACGTGAACAGACTGTTAGTCATTTTCAAATCAAATGAAAGGATGGGCATTTAACTTTCCTCTGTAATTTCACTGAAAGCTGGGCCATCCACACACAGTAGGACTCAAGAGTACATTTGAGAGTTAAAAAATTTTTATTATAAAAAAAATATTTACGAATATTGACCAAATGCGAGTCTTTTAGGCTCGTTTGTATCGCGGAAAATAAAGTGCCATATGAATCATGAATTAGCTCGGATCAGAAATAGTCGAGTAAGTGAGATCACAGGCATTACTATTGTTAGTATCACCGTCTGTGTTTCACCATTTACGATAGAACCTGTTGGGTTCAAAAAGAATCCATGGCCTTTTAAGATGAATTATAATAGGCGCGACAGGAGGCGCGATATTGTGATTTCGATGGAGGCTGGTTTCCTTTCAGAAAGAGATGTTTAATCTTTTCTTCTGCAGTGAAAAGCATAGTTTGACTCCAGCATTATAAATAGATATTGTCTGATATTGTTTAAGTAGTTTCGGGAAGGCCACCTTGTTTAATACGCAAGTCGTCAATGTCTACTACGAGGGTAATACGAGAAAAC